TATATATATTTACTGTACATATATGAAAGCAAAGGTGGTGAAAAAGCTGGGGGAAAAAATCCAAAACCTCTCACATGGTGGCTATGAAATTTTGAAGAATAAAGCTGTAAAAAAGTGCATTGCAGCAATCTACTTTTGTTTTGTTTGATACTAGGCCATTAGCTTGTCAATCCTATCTTACTTAGAACAGGGAGAATATTTGTAAGCTCTCAACAGAACCCCACTTTAAAATGTCTGAACTATTCCTTTAAGTCTTGTGATTAAACAAGGCAGGACTCTTTTCTCAGCAAGTAATTTGCTGATTATATTCTCTATTAGTTGATTAGCTGTTTAAACGTTGAAGTAGCGAAAAGAAAATTACAAGGACAGAAAAAACAAAATCACTTTAGAATCACAGAAGACAGCAAAACAACTGTAGATAAATTGCTGCTAAAATAATTCTGTTAAGTTACATTTACTGTTCGATGCATGATTCAATAATCTCTTTTTCATAATAATAAATATTAGACAATATGTTCTGCAAATACAGATCAAAGTTCACAGCAGAGATAGATTTTTACAACCATCAACTAGAAAAAACAAACAAAATCAACACAAGTTTAAAGATAAGAAAACATTTTCAGCTTTATTTATCAGATATTTTCATAAAAACTACTATTTAATTTATTGTCTCTCTGTACTGAACATGAACAAACAAGTCTGTAAAAAAGGATTAAAGCAGAAAAAACTTCCATCTGCCAACACAAAAAAAAAGCAATAAAGCCAGACTGACACGTTGAGTAATTTAAAAAGGATATCTGTAGTGTAGCTTCTTAATGAGGTCCTCTGGGGTTATAAAAGTTCTATATGTAGTCAAAAAAGCTTCACAGTACAAAACAAGATCTGTGGAGCAAAAATAGGGAAAAAAAGAGCAGTAGCTTTTAGATGACGTGCAGCCAGTGTGAAGAGATTAAAGCTGACAACACATCGTCCTGTATGATGACTGCAAACACAGACTGACACACTGCAAATAAACAGACTGAGGCTTTTTAAAATTCTGCTCAGAGTAAAGTAACACCACATCAAACACAGATTTGTTTTAACAAACAACTAAATCAGCTCTAAATGGTAAATTATTTTTAATGCTGTACCTTTGCGCTCCGTTTCTGTCGCATGGACTAATAAGATATCTCCTGATCCAGCACGAACATCAGGGCCGTCGTCATTCTGGGGGGGAAAAAGTCACGTTAAAATAATGAGGAGCTGAGAAATATCAAGCACAATAAAATACACCGATAAGACAACAAATCTATATTAGAGTGATGCAGTTTAGCTCAAAATCCAGCATCTCTCCACCAACCCTCTCTGTCCCGCACCGGCTCCTCTGATGGCGAAGAAAAAGTCAGACTTGTGCATCAAAAAATAAAAATCACCCCCCCCCTTCCACACTGCAATACGTCTTCTGTAACACCTTTAAATGTCATCACTCGTTACAAGTTTTTTTCTCTCCTCCTTGCATGCTTGAGGTCTTCCCATCTTTTGTAAATCACTGCTGTCACATTGCCGCTAACCTTGCAGAGAGGCGTGCAGCGTTTTCACACATCTGTATATCAGACTGCACCACACAGGAAAAAAAAGAAAAAGAGGTGGAGGAGGAGGAGGAGGAGGCTGCAGTGAAGTAGGTGCAGTTTTAAAGGTTCAACTCCAGAGGGCAGAAATGGCTATGTATGGTGCAATTCATGATCTGATTTCACATCTGAATGACTCTCAGAGACCTTTATCGAGAACTAGACTGACGGGGTTAAGAAGATTTGCTGACAAACAACCAAAAAAAAACAAAAGATACGCCTACAGCATCATCACTTGTTGACCTACCTCTTGCTTTAGTGTTATCCTGCTCATAATCTCCTTGTGGTCTATGAGGGAGAGCTCGTCCACATCTTCCTCATCGCTCCCGGCCATTTCTGTTGCCTTTTGCCTCCTAAAACACATGCAACACACTCGCATCCATCTGAGGCCAATAACTAAAGGCATGCAACAAATCCATACTGCTCGCTTCAGCTCAAACAGTTATTTGATCGACAGGAAAAATCAATCTGCTACTGCTGCAACAACAGGAATAGGAATAATAGAAGTGCGTGGAAGTGCAAAAATAGCTCAGAAGATAATAAAATTATCAAAGATTTCTAACGGTACACTTATGGCATCATTGGCAATATAAGTGTTTCTTGTGCACCCCTGCAGTCTAGAGTAGGGGGGCACAGATAAATTGGCCCTGATTTCTGAAATTTTGGGAGATAGGCAATCGGCTGATACATGAAAAGCCAATCTTATCTACCTCTGCAAAGGTTTGAAAATCAGCCACCATCCCCTTTTGCTCTAATAAATGTACAGTTACAAAACGTTTGAATTGTTTCAAGGGTAATGTTCAATAGATTGGAAAATTTAAACTGAATTGTGACCTTATAACCCTTTGACAGTGTCAGTTATTAAAAACATCTGTATTGGCCAAAATCATAATTGAAAGTTAAGCTTTTTAAAGGTCAGTGATTGGCCAGAAAAGATCAACTGGTGCACCCCTTGTTTAGAGCACATGGAGTAAATTAGCCGCATGTAATGTAAAGGTGTATTTCAATAATAGGCTGTAGCATCATTACCTTTCTTTGTCCAAAGCATCTTTACTATTGCTGGATGGCATCTGAGGAGCAGGGTCTTGAAGTACATCATCACTAGCAATGGTTTCCTAATCAGTGGAGGTGAAACAAACAATCAGCCTCTGTTCAGTTGATTACGTAGGATATCATCTGACTTGTTTCATGCAGTGAGAAGAGGCTAGCTACAGATGAGATCTGAAAATCCACCAGGATCTCATGCAACACAATGGTAAAGAGATGAAAGGATGAACGCTTTGTGTAAACATTTATTACAATTACCTATTAATGCTGAAGCAAAGTAAAGGAAGGTGGGTAAAACTGATGCTTTTATTCAGTGTAAGCCCCCCCACCATACACACACACACACACACACACACACACACAC